AAAATCATTGCAAAAATCATGAATATTCTAAATGTCACTCAGATGTGATTAATAACTGCATAAATAGGTTTGCACTCATGATCATTTTGGCATATGATGAGTAGAAACATGTCAGTGTGAATCAATATGTTTGCCTAGATCGTTTTATTTGGTCAATAATAACATGTTCCAGCTTAAATCTTTTCCTGAACTCTTGTGATGTGAACTCTTCAGACCTCTAATGGGTTTGTGTTTATTATTGGTGTTTTATTCTATAAATCCAAAGCCATGTTCTGGGCTCGTTTTATTCCTGCTCACACTAAAGCTTTGAAACCTGCAGACACACAGGTCTCATTCACTAATAATCACACACACACTTACAATTTGTCTGTTTTCATTCCTCTATATATGGCAGATGGAGTGTGAGAGTTGGTCTTTATTCCTCAGCTGGTTTGACTGCAGAACAAGCTCGTATTCTCTCTGATTTATTAATGGACATGTTGGACATGTTTTACTGCTTCTGCTGGCGTCGGAGATCCTGCAGTTCGCTTCAGAAACCTGGCCTGTGTTGCCAAATACAATAATAATCAGCATAGTACTAAAAATACAGAATTGCTGTTATATTAGCCAACAATTCAACAAAAACTCTAAAAACTAAAAAATCACCGTGAAGTATGTTGGGAATACCATGTTATTACAACATGATTATCCTTATAACATTTATATAGCATTCCATGGTACTACCATTCAAAGGTTTGTGGTTAGTATTTATTTATTTTATTTTTTTTTGTCTGTGTGGAACTGATTGGATGGTTGTGGTTTGCTATTGGCTGATCACATGTGAGTGACAGGTTATAGCCCCGCCCACATCATCAGAGAAGAGAAGAGAAGCTGCAAGAGGAACTGATTCAACATTATTAACACTATAATGATGATGTGGAAACACTGCAATGCTTTGAAAATTATATTTATCAAAACATCCTGAAAAAAGTGCATCACACAAAAACATTAAGGGTAATATGACACAATATTGCTGATTTGACTGTATTTTTGATCAAATAAATGCAGCTTTGGACACAATTTTTTGAGAAAAATCTGTATTTGCATTTGATTAATTCAAGTTTGACTGTTAAAAATCTGGTTATCCTACATCACTGTACTGTGTCTAAAAACATAGTGACTCCATGCTATTATTATTGGTGTTTTTTTAATTAAATCTGCATTAAATGCGTTTCTGTCGACTGTAAGCGTTATCTGTAAAATAAACACACAACCCCTGAACATCTCAACAAAACGGATCGGGACAGAGCCAGAAGTTCTTCTCTGCTTGTGTTTGTGGTGTTTGCACTCATTGGCGCGGTTGCAGACGTCTCGAACTAGCGTGATGTGTTTGCAGTCCTGTGGAGGACTCAGTGGATTTAGAAATGATGGGCAGGGGTTTAATGTCATTGTGATTGCAGAATCTGCTGAGTTTGGGCTTATGTGGCGCTGTCCTAAACGGGCCTCCTTGAACACGAGTCGGGCCGCCTCGGTTTACTGCCTCGGGGAACAATACACTCCATTCCTGTGCGTTCACACACACACCGTCAGCACTGCAGTTTCCCATGGACTCCGGCCAGGATGCAGCATCCCCGAGTGGAGAGAACACTGTGTATCGCATACAGACTAATATCCTGATTAGTCAAGGGGGACATTCATTCATTCATTCGTGCATTCATTCATTCATTCTTTCTTTTTTAATTATTTAAAAAAATATTTTATTTATGTATTTATATTTATTTATTTGTATGTATTTATTTTTTTACTTTTATTTTATTTTTATAATTTATTTATTTTATTTTCATTTATTTATTTAAGAATTTTGTAATTATGTAACAATTATGTAAGAATTTTTATATAAAATATTATAAAATAGGACTTAATTAATTTATTCTTTTTAAAATGTTTTATTTATCTATTTACTTATTTTTTTATTTATGTATTTATATTTGTTTGTTTGTTTATATATTATATCTATTTATTTTATTTTAAAAAAATTTTTTAATATTTTTTATTTTATATTTTATTTATTTGTTTATTTTTATTAATTTATTTATTTTATTTGTTTATTTTTAATTTTATATTTAGTTATTATTTATTTTCATTTATTTTTTAACTATGAATTTAATTAATATTTTAAGAATTTGTTTGTTTTTTTAAATCACAAAATACATAATTGTTATAAATCTGTATTAATGATTATAACAATAAATGATTATGCCATTTGAGAAGGTCAGGAATGCAGCAACATGTGTGAACCATCAGATTTCCTCGAGGTATCAAACTGTAATGCAGTGTAAATCAAGCAGAACAAAGAGAAGGAACTAGAGGGAATATCAGCGGTTAACACAAATCTCTTGATTTAGATCTGAGCAGTCTTCTTTGATTTTGTATTCACAGAGATTTAGCTTTGTGTCCCTGCCGACGGACGTTTTGGAGATCGAGGTGAAAGATAAATTTGCCAAGAGCAGACCCATCATCAAACGCTTCCTGGGAAAGTTGGTCGTGCCCGTACAGAGGCTGCTGGAGAAGAATGCTATCGGGTAGGTCTCCACTAAACAATCATTTAACATACATTAATTATCTAACACTGAGCCCGCTGAGGACTGTGATTACACTCTAATTATTGACTTGTTTCTCAAACTACTGGTCCATTTGTGCATGTTTTTCCTCCAGGATTCTAAAAATATGTTAATGTTTGCAATGTGTGAACAGGGACCGTGTGGTGAGTTACACTTTAGGCCGACGGCTTCCGACAGATCATGTCAGCGGCCAGTTGCAGTTTCGTTTTGAGATAACCTCATCAATTCATACAGGTCTGTAGGATGTTTACTACTGTATCTGCTTTCCTCACAGCATAACCAAAACTAACTATCCTGAGATCGTTTGTTTGTGTATTTGTTAATGATATGTGACTATTTGTTCAGAAGTCAGGTGCTTTTATCCACACATGACCCTAGGGTTGCAAGTGACATGCTGTGGTCATCCACAATACTTCAAGTCCCCCTTTGGTTAAAATCCAGCTTTTAATGTTGTTTATGTGTCTATGTGGTGTTTTTAATATGCTTTAAGATAAACCATGTGCAAGTTCATCAGTCGACATTATTGCTGAGTATTTCCTCCTTAAAACTGCAGTGAACCAAAGAAACACGGTTTGAAATCGCTGATGTTTCTGACGTCACAAACCACCTTGTAACCAATCTGGGGTGCGTTTTCCGAAAGCATCGTTAGCCAACTATGGTCACAAGTTCCGTCGTTACCAATAGAGTCCGATGGAAATTGTGACCAACCGCATCTGAGTGAGTGAGTGAGTGGAGGCGGGGGTCATCTGCATATTCTTAGAACCATGCATACTAAAATAGACAAGGGTGTCGAGTTACATTCAAGATATTTTAAGGCATAAAGAAATAATTTTCCAGGAAAAATCTGTAATTTTAGGGATAAAATTGTTGACTACAGGTGGACTTTAATATTTCCAAAAGTATAGCAACCGTAACCTACATGAGTTGTTCACTCAACAATAATAATAATATTAATCAATAATAATAATTTGGTATCATGACAGTAGTCTATATGACTTGGCGATGAATACCAAGTCTGCAATGAGTCCTGAGAGTTGTGCTGGAGAAACTTATGTGGACCATCTTTACCGTGCTGTACTGTACTGTTGACCTTCTTGGAAACCCTGGTCACTCAGTCACCAATCACTGGTACTTTTACTGAATGGGAAAGAGACTGCGGCATAAACCTTAAAATGACAACTTTGTACCTTATGTAAAACATTTTTAGCTTGTCCCATTTCGACCATTTCCAGAGGTAGTCGAAAATGCATTTACCTGGATTGCTTTCGTAGTGAAAACGCTCAAGTGTCCGAATGTGTTCAAAAAGACCGTCTACACCAGGGTTCCTCAAACTCAGTCCTGGAGGGCCGATGTCCTGTAGAGTTTAGCTCCAACCCTAATCAAACACACCTGAGCAAGCTAATCAAGGTCTTCAGGATCACTAGAAACTCATAGGTAGGTGTGTTTGATCAGGGTTGGAGCTAAACTCTACAGGACCGAGTTTGAGGAACCCTGGTCTACACGTCTACTGTGAACATTATGGGAAGCGTTCTAGCCAAACAGGATTTAAACTTTGTCGGCTGAACACCCAAGAAGGCCTCAAAGATATCAGGCCAGAAGTGGTCAAAAGTGGACAAACATAATTTGTAAACGCATTGTACACGGGAAAACACCATTTGTAAACAAGAATGTGTGTCCCTCGTCTACTTGTGATCTGATCAACCAAAATACGTCTTAATAGCAGATTTCTGCACGAGTACTGATTATTGCTAATGGTGTCATAGCTGGTCTGTTTAAACACACTGAGAGATTTGTTTGTTCCCCTTTTGTAGATGATGAAGAAGTATCCCTCAATGCAATGCCAGTGTTTGATGTGGTACCTGACCAGGAGGCTGAGCTGGAGCCCAACGAGGACCAACCAGGAGCTTCTGATCTGCCTGTGGAAGATGCATTGAGTTTGGGACCTGACATCCAGGAGCCGCTTGCCGAAAGTCCTCTCGAAGTAGAGACCCAAGATGCTGTGCTGCTTACTTCAATAGCTGATCCACCACCGGAAGCTGAAGAATCGGCCGATGAGCTTGTAACAGCTCAAGGAGAGACACTATTGAGTGATGCCACTCAAGGGGAAACTGAGGAGCAAGACTATGGAAAAATAGAGTCCAATGAAACTGTGACTGAGACTCCTTTGGAGGAACTGGAGAACCATGATGCTGAAGACACATGTGGAGATGAAATGGGAGCAACTGCAGAGCATGTAGAGATTGACAGAAGCTCAGAGCATGTTGACATGAGGGTGGAAGGAGATGGGAATGAGGAAGAACCCTGTTCCCCAAGGATGCGAGGTGCCTTAAAGCGAAAAAGCCGTCCCTGTTCGCTTCCAGTGTCCGAATTAGAGACGGTCATCGCCTCAGCCTGTGAAGAACCCGAGACGCCTCGGTCTCACTACATCCGCATTCATCATTTACTGCACAGCCTGCCGTCAGCTCAATGCCACCCTGACAGCCAAGATGAGGACGAAGTTCTTGATCCAGAATCCGAGGAAATCACTGTCAAACCCCAAGAGGACAAAGAGGAGGATGAAGATGAGGTGTCTGAAGCTCAGTCTCCATCAATCGTGCCCGAGTGTCCTAGACCGTGTTGCAGGCGTACCTTACCACGTAGCCTCTCCATCGAGGGCTTGTCTGAACTCAACCAACTCCTGGAGGGGGAAAGACCCTCACCTCGCGCCCTTCGGCCGGACAGCGAAGACGGGGAAGTGTGTGTAAGCAGGAGGGATCCTCGAGTGAGTGAGTGCGAACTCTGTGACAACTCCTGCTACAGCACTTCCTGCTACAGCACTTCCTGTTACAGCACTTCCTGCTACAGTAACTCGGGTTACGAGGGGCGTAACCACCTGTGCAGCCACACGCGTCTCTCTTCGGTCGACAGCACACGCCTGTCGGAGAGCACTGTCTTCTCCTCGCAGGAGGAAGAGGAGGAAGAGAACAGTGCTTTTGAATCCGTCTCGGACTCCATGCAGAGTCCAGAGATCAGGGAGCCGGGAGACGGCTCGGTTCAGTGGAGGGAGTCGTCCTCAGAGGACAGTCCCCAGAGAGAAGGGGCGGTGGAGGTGTCGCCAGGAGCCGGGCCCAGTGTTACCTCATCAGGTGAGGAGTCTTGTCCAAATCACGCATTGATGAAAGGGCTTGCTAAACTCTTTAATGTCCCTGCTGAAAAGTCACCAGCGTAAGGTTTGCATGCTGGGTCCAGCATGGTATGTTAGTTGCTGGTTTGCTCCTGGGAGTACTGGTGGACCAGCTCAGTTATGCTTGAAAGCAGCTTTACTAAGCTGGTCCACCAGCTAGACCAGCATTTTACCAGCTCTGATCATCATAAACCAGACTGGACCATGGAATTAGTGTTGATTTATGCTGGATTTTTTCTGCAGGGGTGTGCAGGAATTCTTGATATTTCTTAATCAAAAGCCGCGTTTCCACTGTCGCCAAAAAAACTTGCGTGCTAGTGCGTGCCAGAGCCAGTAGCGTTTCCACTATCAGTTTCAGAGCCTTCGTCGGGGCTTGCTTGGGGCCAATGGTCTAGGTTTTTTGGCAAGCCAAATACCTTGGTCCAAAGCGGGCCAACTCGGGCTTGAGAAGTGGTTACGGACGATACTGGAGCCGCGTATGATTTCATATAGCAGCTAATCAGCATTATAGACTTTTAAAATCATTTTAGCTCAAAACTTCCTTTCAGACCACAGCGAGTGTTAGAATACCTGATCTAATGTATATATGAAGAGTTCAGATGCAAAAGCCTCTAAATGCCATTTGAAATTTTCCTCTATAATGATGATTTTTACCTAACTTGTATATTTAAGTTCAGTAATTTCACTTAAATGGCAATGATAATTACCTATTAATTGTTATTTAAGTGAAATTACTGAACTTAAATATACAAGTTTGATAAAAATCATCATTATAGAGGAAAATTTCAAATGGCATTTAGAGGCTTTTGCATCTGAACTCTTCATATGCAATGCAAAAGACTATGCGCGCTAACCATTACCATAGTAAACATGGTGAATATGTCCGCTCTGACAAATCTCAATCGTGTTTATATTGTATCCGTCAGTACATCTCGTCTCTTAATACCGGACATATTTAGCTCTGCATTTGTCCGAAAATAAAGCAATTCCGGTTTTACGGGAGCTTGCTCTGTTTCTCTTACTGAAATTATTACAGGCTATGTGTGTCCTTAATTCATTATGATCAATGTGCCCCTTTTTATTGTAAACCTGTGGTAAAATATAGATGCTTGGGTTTTAAATCTTTAAGTAAACAACAAAAATGGTCGCTTTTGTCATGTTCGTTTTATGATATCATTAGTTTTCAGTGCTTTTTTTCAGATTAGTTTTCTGATTAAACTTCCATTTGTTGGTGAAATCATGGGTTTGTGTGACGGTGAGGTGTGTTTTAGTGAAGCGCTGTGGAGCTTCTGGCCCGACGGTGGAAACACAGAGTGGCTTTGGGCTCGGTGCTCCAGGTGCGAGGCTATTAGCCCCACCCGGCCCGGCCCATTGAAAACCCTGGCTCGCACTGGCCCGACAGTGGAATCACAGCTAAAGAACTTCAAATCATCAGTATTTGGTTCATTTTATCTCATGTTACCATCCTGCTAATCTTAACGAGCATTTTTGCTGCGTTCAAAATCGAATATGTAACGACTTTATTTGCTACGAAGTAGTATTTCCGAATACATAGTTTCCGAATACATCCACCTGACCAAGTGTCGAGGTGTCCATGAGCAAGACACCTAACTTCAGCTGCTACCGACGAGCTGGATGGCGCCTAAAATGCTAAAATGTCTTATTGACAGTTTGATCAACGATACAGGTGATGTTGAAAAATGCACCTGATTGTGGGATACATTATCTGTACAGTGAGTACAGAAATACAATGAGGAGAGTCATACTGAACACTCATTATGAGATTACATGACAACACTGAACAGATCTAGCTCTATGGTTATGTTTTGGAACGGTTTTCATAGCAAAATAACATCATCAGTGAAAAACCCACATACAATTGCTCTGTGAAACGGCTTGACCAGTGATGAGTTTGGCAGCCAATTACTGCTGAAACTCATCCATACGCGCATGAATATAAGAACCGAGAATTGCTCCCTAATTCATATTTCATCGGACAGACGACATGTTCATGCTTGTTTTCAGTTTATTACATAAAGTATATGGTGAATTCAGGGAAATTGTGCAACTTTGTGACAATTTTGGTCCTGAATTCAACCTATATATTATTCATGGCAGTGGTTCTCAACTTGATTTGCTTCAGGACTTTATATTGAGTTTATATTTGACTAGAAGGGGAAACACAGAGCACCAAAATTGTATATCATGCAAAACATTTTTTTAATTAAAATACTACATTTTTTGTATTTTATTTTAATTTTAAATAAAAGTATTTGATTGAGTTAATACATTAAATTGTATTTATTCTTTTTATTTTATTATTTTTAATGTTACATTGACAGGGAAATTTTCACCCAACCAGTTGAGAACCGCTGATTTATGGCATATGCATATTGTCATAAGTCATGGGCCTGTGTTTTGATTGTGTTTGTAGGCAGTTGTCATTTGCAGATCAGTCATCATGCGTTCACTCATCTTCCTGATCCCCATCATTACTCAAGTGTTGATCAACCATTACCACCAAGTAAGCTTTCCTGAGTCAGTCCTTTCCCTCGCTTTGTCCATTAACCTGCTGCCTTCATGTGTGTGTGTGTGTGTGTTTGATCTGCCATGAGATTCACTCTCTATCCCATCAGACCATGTTTCTGAATGCTCACTCCCATCTTCATTGACTTTCTCTTGAAACTTCTAGAAGTGATCATATGAGAGGGTACTACCGAGATGGACAAATGAGATCAACAAAACATAAAATATATTTTGTTAGATATCTGATAACAAATACTCAATCAAGCACCATCACTGTTCATTTGCCACAGAAAAAAAGGTAAAAGAGCGAGTTTTTGAACAACACTGGCATAGAAACCTCAAGAAAATAGTTAGTATTTGGGTAAATTCCTTGAATTCATGCTTGAATGTATTTGTGCTTGTGTAGGAAAACAAGCAGGGCAAGATTGATAAATGCAAAGAGCACACGCATTTTGGTGTCAGGAGTGATGTGTAAAACACACTCGAGCACAATTGAGCAAAGTGAGCTTGTCTCTCTCTCGAGAGAGAGAGAGAGAGAGAGATCGGGGATGGCCTGATCCGTCTCTCCGGGGCTTTCTTCTGTTGCCATGGCGACCGCAGCAAAGAGGCGGAGCTCGTGTTTGAAGCTTTCTTTCAAAAGCAAGTCAGCTAAGATATTAATATGTTCATAGTTGGAATAATTCCCAAATCCTAGTCAAGATTTAAAATACTGTTTTATGACTAGCATTATGACGTGTGTGTGTGTGTGTGTGTGTGTGTCTGATTTTCCAGTTTAACTGCCTTCTGTTCAGTTTATGAATGTAAAGTTAGATGTCCCGGTCACACAAGACGGAGAAATTGGAATGACTTGAATGAAATGTATAAAATATGTCATGTTTAAAACACTGTACACTACTGTTCAAAAGTTTGGTATCGGTAAGATTTTGTAATGTTTTTATTTATTTTTTTATAATGTAAAGTGTTTTTTGCTCAACAAAGCTACTATGAAAATTATTCCAATATGTGTGTTTTCTATTTCTATGAACATTGATCATTAATATCAATGTCCTGAAATATTTCTTATATTGTGTGTATTACTGAAAAATGAAACTAAACTTTTTCTAAATTCGTTGAATTCAGTTCTTCATCCCGTTTGGTTTGCTAAGAAAGATCAATTCAAGTTCATTTCAATGTTTAATGCGTTGAACACTGCATATCTAGTATATTATAGTCATGTGCACAAACGTCACATTTTCTCTTCTCAGTCTGATTGTATGTTTATTTGTTTCGTAAGTGTTCATATGTCTTCATTTTTTAACATTCTACTAACTATAAGTAACTTTGCAACTACATGTTAACTAACTCTCATTAGAGCATTAGTAGACTGTTAGGTTAGGCTTCGGGTTAGTAGAATAAGTTACTCGTGAAGTTACTTCTAGTCAGTATAATATCTGTTGAGGACCATCAGAATAAAGTGATAGTAGATATTAATCAGAAAGTCTACTAATGCTCTAATGAGAGTTAGTTGAGTACTTGTAAAGTTACGTATAGTCAGCAGAATGTCTGAAGTGGACTATCGGAATAGTGTTACTTACGTTTCTTATATGTAAGCTTATATATTTGTTTCTCTCTGGCGCAGACTGGGAAGCGCGGATCGACAGCCACGGCCGTGTCTTCTACGTGGATCATGTGAACCGCAGCACCACGTGGCAGAAGCCGATCCATGCGGCCAAACGCTCCGGCATCCCGAGATCCGGATCCACACACCAGATGGAGCAGCTCAACCGCAGGTCTGCACACACACACTGCATTTATACTGGAGAAATAGGGTTTATAAGTCCATTAGTGTGGACCATAGTAAGCCCATAAATGTGCTTTTCACAGAAAGGAGTTAAAATCACACAATTAAAGCAAGGAAAATTTAATTAAATATGTTGCATAAATAAACAAAACATCGGTGTATCATATTTTTCACAGCTCCCAGTTTTAATAAAGTAAGTAAATCAGTAATAAAGATGGCGTCCAGTAAGGCTACTAATGAAGCTGAAGGATATGCCCTTAATATTGTGTTGTAATGCCAGAGAATCGACTAGATCTAGTCTATGGGAGAGAGCGAAAGCTGATCTGGTTTCAGCCGGTGTTGTTCTGTCTCCAGGTACCATAACATCCAGAGGACGATGGCCAGCGAAGACGAGCCGCCGAGGAACACCGCAGACGCCGAGAGGGACGTCTCCACACACACTGCAGGTGGGCCTGATGATGCGGAGAGTGTGTGTTTGTGTGGGTGTTTACTTTGTGTGCAAATGACTGTCTTATTCACTTTTGTATAATGTTAGGTTTTGAACATAAGATTTCAAAAAAGATGCAAATTGAGTTTTATAAAAGTTTAATATTGTTTGTGTTTGAGTGAGAATTGTTGTAATTTGACAGAAGATCCCTGAATGTGTGCCAGAGCAGGGGTAAATGATACTCGGTGTCGAGACATCGGTCCTGGTGATAGTGATGATGTGTTCCTGTGATGTTTGTAGAGCCGCGAAGAGAAGGTTGTTGGTCTCCTGTGAACACTCAGAACGCCACGCTTCTGCTCCAGTGTCCCACCGTCAAGTTCGTCACACACCCAGAATTCTTCACGGTCCTCCATGCAAACCACGTAAGTCCCAAAGAGAAGGTTTGAATCTGTTTTCATGTGTCTTACACCCGGCACAGAGCAGCGGCAAGCGCATCGCTAGTGTGTTTCGCTAGTTTCAGCCCGACGCAGTTTTCATTTTCACGTCCTGTGTCACGTTGTTTAAATAGCAAATGCATTTTGCAAAACTGCCGGTCTGAGAACGAGTGTGTGTGTTCAGGCGTGTTTTGAGGAACTGAAATAAACTGAGCCGTTGACCGACTGAAGCAATATTTGACCAGAGCAATATTTTTGTTATTTAAAGAGTGCGTTAGTAATGTGCGCCTATAGGCGTGTCCACAACGTGCGTACACTCACTCACACATGCCAGATATTAAAATAAATGTAAAAGATAATGATTGTGTAGATTAAGATATGGTGGAATCCGCCACGCCGCAAGCGCATCTGGCATTTAAAGGGAATGGGAGACGAGTTGGTGGTTTAACGCACGTAAATCCCAAAACACACGCATTGCTCATTAAGAGAATAGAGACGGCCCTTTTAGACCATGCGCCGGGAGCGCTAACCATTTGTCCCGTTGTTAAAGGGATAGTTCACTTTAAAATTAATGTTTGGTATGTTTTATCTTACCTCAAGGGCATCCAAGATGTAGGTGTCTTTGTTTCCGCAGTATTTTCAATTTTGATATTTTTCGGTCAAACCGTTGTTGTCTGTCAGTAATATAATGGAGGTCTATGGTCACCACCTCAAAGAGCATGCACAGAGAAGTCCAGATTAAACATGATTTAATGTCTTGTAAATGTAAGTACACATTGATGGCCTAAGACACGAAACGAGCGGTTTGTGTGAGAAAACCAACAGTGTTTATATCGTTTTACCTCTTGTAACCACAGCCACGTCCAACTGATCTGAGGGCACGGGCGCTTCAGGATAAAAACGATATAAATACTGTTAGTTTTCTCACACAATCCGCTCGTTTCGTGTCTTAGGCCATCAATGTGTACTTACATTTACGAGTCATTAAATCATGTTTAATCTGGACTTCTCTCTTTGAGGTGGTGACCATAGACCTCCATTATATGACTGACGGACAAGAACGGTTTGACCTAAAAATATCAAAATTGAAAATACTGAATGACTTTGAATAAAAGTTGTGTGTTCATCACTGTAACCGTTTGTATGGAGTGTGTTCAATCCTCCTGACGTGTTTGACTCGTGCCGTAAGTGTATCCAGACGTATCCTGAGGATGAGGATGTTTCCGGGATCAGTCGAGCGCTCGTGAACTCTCTCTGTCCTCCACTTTAGTTGAAGGCTGATATTGACTGAACTATTTGCAGATTCCCTCTTTATTGATCACATAAGCTCTCCTGCTCAAAGGAGACAGATAACAGACATTAACAAGCCAAGATAAAGCGTGCGGAGATAGAAGTGGATCTGTGCGAGTGGAGATGCCTTTATTCTGTTTGCAGTTATCTCACACAGGTCACGAACAAAGAGGCATTGATTGAATATTCATGATCATACTGGAGCCTCAGTGTGTGTTTGGTTTGATATCAACACATAATTCTCCATATCAGACCAGGTGATTGATTTACACTCACAAGAATAAGCATTAATATGATCGTCAAATGCACACTTCAAGTTCTTGAAACCCAAATATGACCTTTGATATGAAATATTTGGGATATCCTCCGTAACTGAATATTCAGGGCTCGAGTGTTTCTCTTTTGCTGTTAGTCGATGCGTACGGCCGTTATTTTATTCGATAAAGTTTAAATATGGATATTTTTCTTACATGAACGCATCACTTCACTTCAGAAGGCCTTTATTAACCCCGTGAGGAGCACTCCGGTGACATATGCAGGACTTCTCCAGTCATGTACACTCTGAAAATGAATGTGCTTTATCTAATTTAAAAAAAAAAAAAAAATGTGGCAGCAGATTACAACAGATTGCAATATTATTAATTAAATGTAACAAATTAGAATTGAGTAATAATTAATCAAATTAATTTCTTAAAAGTTAACCATTTAAAATGAGTAAAACTTACAACAACAACCAAAAAAAACATAAATGTAAGTCACCATTATGGTGATCGGTGCTTGTTAACATCAGGTGCCTTCAATGTTGCCAATATAAAATAAAGAGTTTATTATTCAGATATTTGTGTTTATTTTTTTGGTGTAAACTGTACTCATTTTAAATGGTTAACTTTTAAGGAATAATTTGATTAATTATTGCTCCATTGTAATTTGTTAAATGTAATTAATAATATTGCTTGTAATCTGTTGCCACAATTCTATTGATCAGATAAAGCGTATTCATTTTTACAGTGTAGTGAGATTGAACCCCTGCAAACTCACATTCGTGCTTCAGTATTTCACAAACTGTTGTGTTGATGAGTGTGTGTGTGTGTGTGTGTGTGTTTCCCGCTCAGGGTGCGTATAGGATGTTCACTAACAGCACCTGCCTGAAGCACATGATTCTGAAAATACGGCGAGACGCGCGCAACTTCGAGCGATATCAACACAACCGTGACCTCGTCACCTTCCTCAACAAGTTCTCCGACACTCAGCAGGAGCTCCCGAGAGGCTGGGAGATCAAAACGACCCGCAGGGCGGTGAGCATGTGAGGTGTGTGTGTGTGTGATGGGTAGGTTAAGGTTTAGTGTAAGGGGACTGAATATGTGTGTAGTGTACAGTATAAAAACCATTATGCAAGGCAAGTTTATTTATATACCACATTTCATACACAGTGGCAATTCAAAGTGCTTTACATGGGAGAAATTAAAATAATAATCAAAAGAAATCAGATCAATTAAAACAGTTTAGAATAAAAAAATATCATAATAATAAAAATAAAATACAGTAAATAATTAAAACAATTTAGAATCAAAAATAAAATGAAGTACGCCTATTATGCCTATGAAATGTCCTATTAAGTATAGCAAAACAAACCTGTGTGTGTGTGTGTGTGTGTGTGTGGTAGTCATTCTTCGTGGACCACAACAGTCGGGCAACAACCTTCATTGACCCCAGGATCCCCCTTCAGAACGGACGACTGCCCAACCACCTCACACACCGACAACACTTACAGAGACTGCGCAGCTATAGTGCCGGAGAGGTACAGCACACACACACACACATCATGTGGAAATATACTTCATTTTATCCGATGTTAAAGAGGTCTGCAAAGTTATAAAGGTCATAATCTCCCACAACTGGGATTTATTTTATCGGGAACACTTTACAATAAAGTTCATTTGATAACATTATTTAACATGAACTAATAATGAACTGCACTTACACAGCATCTATCAATCTTTGTTAATGTTAATTTCAACATTTACTAATACTTCTATTCAAATATTGTTAACAGTCAATGATGTGAACTAACATGAACACACAATGAACTGCTGGAATTATATGCACTAATGTTAACAAAGATTAACAAATACAAAACATTGCTCATGGTTAGTTCATGTTAGTTAATACATGAACTAAT